CCTGTAGTCCCAGCTACTCGGGAGACTGAGGCAAGAGAATCACCTAAGCCCAAGAGCTGGAGGTTGCTCTGAGCTGTGACACCACGGTACTATACCGTGGACAACAAAATGAGACTGTCTCTTAAAAACAAAACAAAACTTTTGTAATGACCCACATACTAGTTCCAGCCCCCATGGAATGTGTGGCTGAGACGTTTTCCAGGTCTCTCTATCCCAGGGCAGTCCAGGAGCAAACCCAGATGAGGGAACCCGCTAGTGCCAACTCAGTGATTCTCAAAGACCAGAGATTTCCCTTCTGTCTAGTCATTCAACGTTACTGGCCAAGGGCAATCCAAACTCTGGGGACACAGCCATGCCAAATAAGATCAGCAGACCAGAGCTGCTGCAACAAACTCCCACAAAATCAGTGGCTTAAAATGATACCAATTTATTCTCTAATAGTTCTGGAGGTCATAGTCCAAAATGGCCCTCCCCAGGCTTACATTAATGTGTGGCAGGGCCTGGCTCCAAGAATAAGGACTGGTATACAGAAGATGCTCAGTAAATGCAATGAAGGAAGGAAATAATTAGAGTTGTCCAGGGATGAGCCTTTCTCAATGTCCTCACAGCTCTGAGGTCAGTGCTGGGGCTGCAGATGAGGAAACTGAGAATTGAAGGGCAAATAGCTTGCTTGGAGGCCACCCAGCTTTACCTCAATGGGCTGGAAATCCAGCACCTGCTACCAGAGAGGCAGCTGCATTCCTGCTGAGGCCCTGTGAAAGCTCCCTTGCATATATCCAGGCTGGGTATACTGAGGCATAAAGTGGTGAAGTGACTGCCTGCGGTCACACAGCAGCCCCGGGACCCTTACTCTCACCTCCATGGCCTGCTTCTTGGCCTCTCTTGCAGTTATAATTATTATCAATAACAACCTGAGACAGCCGAAGCATCAGTTCCCCAGAAGCGCCTGTTTGCACTGGATGTTGCTGATGGGGCCTCCCAACCACAGGCCACAGCTCGGCTCCCTGCTTCCGGGCCGTTGGGTGAGAGTGGGGGCCTTGGCCACCAGCAGAACTCTCCAGGGAGCCACCAACCTGTGATGGCCATGAGGCCTATGATGGGGGACTGGGGCCGACCGCTGCTGGCTGTGGCTGCTGCTCTGACACTGCCCATGAAGCTGCCTGGTGAGGAGCCCCTAGGACTCTATATAGAGTGCCCTGAGAACCTGCAGGCAGGCCCCCCATGCAACCCGGCTACTTAACCTCCTGGATAGTTGTCCCACTCCTGGCCTCAGCTAGAAAAGAAGGGAGTCCCCTCCCGGTGCATGGAGGCTTGTCTGGACTCTGTCTCCGTGCCTGCATCTCTCTGGTGTCTTCCCACCCTGTCTCTGCCTCTGCCTCTTTCTCCCCTGTCCAGCCCCCCAGCCTGCCCAGTGCTGATCCATGACTCAGGCCATCCACCCCCACAGGCTCCTGGGGAACCCAGATCATTGGGGGCCAAGAGGTGGCCCCCCATTCCCGGCCCTACATGGCCTCTGTGCAATTCGGTGGCCAGCACCACTGTGGGGGCTTCCTGGTCCAGGCACGCTGGGTAGTCTCAGTCGCCCACTGCTTCAGCCACAGGTGAGCCTCACCTTTCTGGATCCCTTCTGTGGGGTGAGCTGGGGTATGAGCAGGGCGGGGTAGACCCTACCCCTCACCTAGTGGAGGTGTAGCAGGAGAAGGCATCAAGGAGAAAACAGAAGAAATACATAAGAAGCAACAATGGTGACAACAATTAAACATTTTGTTATGATAGTCTTTCTAAATATATTATTATAATGACTATTAATATGAATATTGAAATTATTGGCTTGGTGGCCGTAGCTCAGTGGTTAGGGTGCCAACCACATACAATGAGGCTGGTAGGTTTGGACCTGGCCACGGCCAGCTAAAACAATGACAACTGCAACAAAAAAATAGCTGGGCATTGTGGTGGGCACCTGTAGTCCCAGCTACTTGGGAGGCTGAGCCAAGAGGATCGCTTGAGCCCAAGAGTTTGAGGGTGCTGTAAGCTGTGATGCCACGGCACTCTACCAAGGGCAGCATAGTGAGACTCTGTCTCAAAAAGAAAAGAAAAGAAAAGAAAAGAATATTGAAATTATTGTAGTTAATATTATAATTGAGGTGGTATATTTAATAAATATAGTAAGTGTTATATTCATTGTAAGTATGTTTTCATAACTATGATTCAAATTAATATTTCAGCCATTGAAGCTAACAGTGTAATTGGGGTGAGAATGATAGTCAACATGGTGATTATCACTGCAGGGCTGGCATGAGCATTAACAGGATTGCTGCACCTGCATTTCACAGATGGGGGGACTAACGCCCTGGGTGGGCAGCCTCAGTCTTGCCTACCCTTCTCTCTCTGCAGAGACTCCCGCAGGGGCCTGGTGGTGCTGGGGGCCCACACCCTGGGCATCACAGAGCCCACGCAGCAGGTGTTTGACATCACAGCTGTTGTCAGTCACCCCAACTACCAGCCCACGACCCATGCCAATGACATCTGTCTGCTTCAGGTGAGCCCTGGGGCTGAGGGTGGGCCGGTGGGTGAGTCTGACCCATTTCTGGCCACTCAGGACCATCTGACTTCTATTTATTTATTTATTTATTTTTATTTTTTTTGAGACGGAGCCTCAAGCTATCCTCCTGAGTAGAGTGCCATGGCATCACGCTCACAGCAACCTCCAACTCCTGGGCTCAAGCGATTCTCCTGCCTCAGCCTCCCAAGTAGCTGGGACCACAGGCGCTTGCCACAGCGCCTGGCCATTTTTTGGTTGCAGCCATCATTGTTGCTTGGCGGGCCCAGGCTGGGGATTCGAACCCACCGCCTTGGGTGTATGTGGCTGGCGCCCTAGCCGCTTGAGCCACAGGCGCTGAGCCTCTGACTTCTATTTAAAAACAGCTAAATGGGGGCGGCGCCTGTGGCTTAAAGGAGTAGGGTGCTGGCCCCATATGCTGGAGGTGGTGGGTTCAAACCCAGTTCCAGGCTCGGCGCCTGTGGCGCAAGCGGCTAAGGCGCCAGCCACATACACCAAAGGTGGCGGGTTCGAATCCCCAGCCCGGGCCCGCCAAACAACAATGATGGCTGCAACCAAAAAATGGCCGGGCGTTGTGGCGGGCGCCTGTGGTCCCAGCTACTTGGGAGGCTGAGGCAGGAGACTTGCTTGAGCCCAGGAGTTGGAGGTTGCTGTGAGCGTGATGCCATGGCACTCTACCCAGGGGGATAGCTTGAGGCTCCGTCTCAAAAAAATAAAAAATAAAAATAAATAGATAAATAAATAAAAAAAAAACCCAGTTCCAGCCAAAAACTGCCAAAAAAAAAAAGAAATTGCAGCTAAAAACAGCTGACTGGCCAGGTGCAATGGCTCACACCTGTAATCATAGCATTCTGGGAGGCTGAGGTAGGTAGGCTCAAGATTGCTTGAGCTCACAGGTTCCAGACCAGCCTGAGCAAGAGTGAGACCCGTCTCTAAATATAGCTGGGCATTGTGCTGGGGGCCTGTAGTCCCAGCTACTCAGGAAGCTAAGGCAAGAGAATGGCTCAAGGCTTCTTCAGTCTTCAAACCTTGAGGTTGCCATGAGCTACGATGCTATGGCACTCTACCCAGGGCAACAGAATGAGACTGTCTCAAAAATAAAAAAAAGATAAATAAAATAAAATAAAACAAAAACACCTGGAGGGACCCTGTGAACTCCCAAGTTAAGCCACATCCCTCCTCTGCACAGAGCACTCCATGGTTTCTACCTCCTTCAGGACAGGAGCCAAAGCCCTCCTGGTATCCATGAGCCCTGTTCTTGTGTTCCGATCACCTCCTATAGCAGTGGTTCTCAATCTTCCTAATGCCACAAACCTTTAATACAGTTCCTGTGGGTCACAACCCACAGGTTGAGAATTGCTGTCCTATAGTCTCCCACCTGTCACCTTTGCACTGGCTGTGCCCGTCCCAAGCACCATTCCCCCACACAAATCTCAAATCCCACCACCTCAGGAGTTTCCCCTGACCATACACCCCCATTCTGTCCTTGCCTCCCTCCTCTTATCCTGTTCCATCTTCCTTCTGTCCACATAGTTGTCACTTGCTAAGTCCTGTGACATCTGCTTCTTCACCTTGATGATGATTTACCACCTCAAGGACAGGGATTTTTTTTATCACATTTATGGCCATTTAAGACACATAGCAGGTGCTCAATTATTTATGCTGAAAGAGGGGAAGAATGAGAATCTAGGGCCACTGTTAGATCTAGGTCTCTACCCTGTATCCCAGAATTTTTCTGGGTGGGAAGTTGTGTCTACCATCAATGTGAGTTTCACTCCTAGCCATTCATAGCGCATCCATTTGACTCTGCAAGGCCCCTTCCTGCTGAGGGGGAATGACCCCTTCCCTATGGCTTCCACCTGGAAGTCCCCAAATTAAATTTCAGGCACCCCTCAGGGCGTACTTTTTATTTTTTTATATTTTATTTATTTATTTATTTATTTATTTATTTTTGAGACAGAACCTCAAGCTCTTGCCCTGGGTAGAGTGCTGTGGCATCACAGCTCACAGCAACCTCCAACTCCTGGGCTTAAGTGATTCTCTTGCCTCAGCCTCCTAAGTAGCTGGGACTATAGGCACCCGCCATAACACCCAGCTATTTTTTGGTTGTACTTGTCATTGTTTTTTTGGCAGGCCTGGGCTGGATTTGAACCCATCATCTCTGGTGTATGTGGCTGGCACCTTGGCAGCTTGAGCTACAAGTGCTGAGTCAGGGCCTACTTTTTAAAGGGAGTATTCCCAGTCCTGCCTCCCAAACATGGCTAAACCTACAACAGGATAGTCACAGTCTTATAGACAGGAATGCTTGGTGGGGGTGGGGGAGCAGTGTTTTCTTAGCTAAATAAGAAGGCAGGAGTGGCTCGGCGCCTGTGGCTCAAGCGGCTAAGGCGCCAGCCACATACACTTAAGGTGGCGGGTTCGTATCCCCAGCCCGGGCCCGCCAAACAACAATGATGGCTGCAACCAAAAAAAACAATGGCCAGGTGTTGTGGCGGGCGCCTGTAGTCCCAGAGCCCAGGAGTTGGAGGTTGCTGTGAGCTGCGATGCCATGGCACTCTATCCAGGGCGATAGCTTGAGGCTCCGTCTCAAAAAAAAAAAAAAAAAAAAGAAGAAGGCAGGAGTGTTGGTGATGTTGGTGATCAAAGCTTTGGGGCTTTGGGGTGAATTTTACTCATCTATGAAAGCCTGAAGCCTGGACCCTGCTGCTCTGGTTTGCAAGGCTATTGTACAGATGTGGAGATGGGGAAACCAAGGCTGAGGGAGAAGTCAGAAATGTACCAAGGCCATGAAGTGGGTGACACCAAAAACAGTGGTCTGAGCCTTTTTTGCTTTTTGAGACAGAGTCTCACTCTGTTGCTCCAGGCAAGAGTGCCATGGTGTCAGCCTAGCTTACAGCAAACTCAAACTCATGGAGTGATTCTCTTTCCTCAGCCTCCTGAGTAGCTGGGACTACAGAAACCTGGCACAATGCTGATATAATTTTAAATTTTTTTTTTTTTAGTAGAAAAGATCTTACTCTTGGGCTCGGCGCCAGATACGTACACCGAGGGTAGTCGGTTTGAACCCGGCCCGGGCCTACTAAACGACTGCAACAAAAAAATAGCTGGGCATTGTGGCAGGTGCCTGTAGTCCCAGCTACTGTACCTGGGAGGCTGAGGCAAGAGAATCACTTAAGCCAGTGGTT